CATGCAATTTACTCAGAAAATATATCTTATTATTTTCATAAATAGTGTAATATATCTTTATTTATAGTAATCATAGAATTCTATTGTCATTCAATTATAACACATATGTCTATTTACTAGGGTTTTTTTCTTCTAATTTACTCATGTTAAATTATTATTTTTTCTCAAGAAGAACTTTCTAATAATACTACTAGCAAAAACAAGTTAATACATTTTATGACGACATTTTCGATCAATGTATTTTCGTTTTTTTTTTTTCGATGTTTCTTTTGTTCTATTAAAAGAATCATAATAGAATTATTTTCGCAAAAACAAAAAGAAAACATTTCTCAAAGGAAAATGTCATATCTTAGCAGGCAAAGACACGTGCTGCTTCACAATTCTCATCATCTTTGTGTTTTACTTTTCTACTGAATGTAAAACAGAACAGAAAAACAATACTAGCACGTACTAAATGATAATCTTGTCTATCTCACAAATTAACTGAATCTGAATTTATAACTCATCTTCCTGTATAGTATTGATAAGTTTAATAATTTAGACTAATTGGAAAGAATTTTGAATAAAATTATTTTTTATAATTTATTTATTTTGAGATAAATAAATATATCATCTTTTAGTATAATTTAAATTAGAAAAATTTATTTATATAGATGTCACTAGTTGATGATTCTGCAAATAAAAGATATGTGGTTAAATTTTTCATAAGATAAGATAAGCAAAAGGCTAAAAATATTTTCAAAAAAAATAACTTATCTTAGTTTATTTCGTGTGATAGAAATCTATTCTAAATATTCTTCATTTCATGATAGAAGAAGATGCCCATACTTATGTAGAATATTATTCAGAATGTAGAATAATAAATAAATTTAAAACAAACAAATGAGATACTATTAAATGATTGATTTTAAACCATAATTACCAAGCAGTTATCTAATAGTTTCAAAATGACAAAGTAGTGTTTAAGTATTTTGAAATAAAGTATAAATTATATATATATATATATTGAATTATATTATGATTGCTACTCTATTGAATTACATTGAAGTATTGAAGAGTATTTATTCATTATGATTTCTTTTGTTTACATTCAAATGAGTCGAGAAAAAAGGGCTCAACAAAAAAAAAGTAAGTAAATAGTGAATAGGCAAATATGTTCGAAACATTCCAATATAAATTCACATGTACATGGATGCTAAGTAAATATAAATCATCAGACAAATACTAGAGAACGAAACATGTAACGAAAAAATGAATAGTATACAACATATTGAATGTGTTTTGTTTGTATCGATGTGACCTTGAAGAATAATAAATAGGAAAAACTAACTCTCACGGTACAATTGTTACGAGGTAGCCAAGATTCATTCGAGTGTTCTCCATCTCGCTGCATTCTTTTCTGTCTTTTATTTTTCATTCATCTCTTTCATACCGTATAGAATTTCCTTTTCCTGTGCTCTCCTTCATGACAAATGCAGTTTTTCTTGTCACCTGAACTTTTCCTTCCTTGCTTATTACGCTTATTGGACGTCTTCCATCTTATTTATCATTATGGCCATTTCTGTCACCTTCACTGCTATAGGTCGAGTGTAATTTCACAAGAAACGACATTCGATTAGTCATTCATCTTCTTCAATCTTTAGAGTTAGCTGCCTAAGAAGTTTCTCATCTTTTCACAACAATATCAACAAAGAAAACCAAAAATTACTTCGTTGAAAGGCTAATTTTCTTTAAAAAATTACATTATATAATCAATTGTACTGTACTATTAGACTTTTTGTTTATTGATATATTGTTAATTTATTTTTATATAATATGACTATGTCAAGATAATAGTGTCTTACTTTCTGATAATTTTGATTTGATCGGAGAAAATTAAATGATTATATCGTAAACTAAATCTGATTCTAGTTAATAGAAACTATTATCTATATTTCTTGTATTTTAATGGATAAATTTTGTTTCCTATTCATCGTTGCCAAAAAAAAAACCTTTGCACCATTAATTTCAGAGTTCGAATTCCTTATTTCATCGTATGAGGAAACAGTGTCTATCTTTGGAAATATATACGTTAAATTTATTTAGAATTTAGACTATTCCTGAATTTTATAACGGGTGGACAAGAATAAATAAATATTATAACTTCGTCAGTTTTGATCCGATCGAGCCGGACCGTTTTCTGATTGGAATTGCCATTTGATGCTCTACAAAATTATATGTAAACAATTTTTCTAGAGCGAAGTATAACTAAGTTATAGATTAGAAACTCAAGAGATTGAAAAGTGTCAACTTTCAAAGACAAAAATTATTTTTCAAAATTTTTAAACTTCCATGGCATGATGTAAAAGAACTGAGCTATTTATTTTGAAGAGAGTAAAATTGTCTATTGGAACTATATGTTAAACAATTTTTTAACTGAAACTTCAGAGCACAAGATAATATTTTACTTTCTCAGTTTTTCGAAAAAAAAATGATTTTAATTCAGGTTTTTATTCATTGTACAAACATGCTCGTACTTCCGTAAAAAATCATCTATTTTTCAAAATTTCAAATTCAGGAGTCTTTACTATCGCATGGACATGCCTTTGAAATAGTAGCATATGGTGTCTAGCCTCAGGTCACAACAAATATCAATAGTGACATTTAATGATGCTTTGAGGAAAACTTCGTTTTTGTACCGACGGTTATTAATCGAAGAGCATTGTTTTGTAGTGCGTCGGAAAGAGTAGACTTCAACCTACTGGAACATGAGTAAGCTGGAAAAGGAGATACAATTTCCGTTGTTCGAAACGCTATAGAAAAGTTCAACAATGTACCTTTGAAAGTAGACACTTTTTGACTTCTTCAGTTTTTATAGTTTTGTCATATTTCGCTCTAGAAAAACGTTTACATATAGTTTTGTACAGCATCAAACGGCAATTCTAATAGAAACAAGGTTAGGTTTGATCAGATCAAGACTGACGAAGTTATTGAAGAAATACCAAATATTTACTTATTCTGATCCATCCGTTACATTCTTAAGTAAACATATAACTATAAGCGAGATACGGAAATTCTAAAAAAATTCAGATAAAAAGGAAAGAGATTTAATTCACACAGAAAATACGGAGACTTTTAATTTATAGGAAGCTATCTCCTAAAATCGTTTATTAGTAACAAAGTCTGTAAAGTAATGGATAATGTATTGACGATTAAATAGCTTCTAATACATAAAGAACAATTGATTAGAAAAAGAAAAAATTAGAAAAATTTTGTAAATATGAATGCAATATCTTTTGAATTATTTAATTTTATAGTTTGGTTAAAAACAACAGAAATACTTGTTTATTGATAAGAACGCAAAACAACATTGGAAACAAATGACTATATAAGCATATAATTCTATAATAAACCATAATGTACTCGAGTAGATAACTTTTGTGAACGAAAATTTAATAATTTCTTGTATAAGATATTAATAGTATTTCGTTCTATAAAATGAGAGATGTATTTTTGTATCAAAAGAATGCTATCAGTTTATTTTAAGGAAGTTCAATCGATAATACAATAATATTTTAAATATCTAATTTCTTTCCATTATTTTAATGGATCTGTATGATTCTATTCATGGTTATCTTCTCGATAGTGCAAAAGGACGCCAAACGTGACATATGGTCATCTATAGTACCTTCTATCGAATAATTAACTTGATTATATATATATATCATTCATTTTCTTGCACCATTTTTCAATCAATTTAATCTTGATTCTAATCATTATCAGAATAATGACTTGACAATAAGTGATTGTTAGAAAAGAAGACATTAATAAAAAACATTGTTTGTCGAGCAGTTGCAAAAGCATGTAAACCTTCTCATCTGTTCATTTATTTTCTTTCTATTCGCTACATCTTGTTTGATTATCTAAAATCCGATTTGACATAGGATCATTTGTTATGAAATGCATTCTATTGATCAATAATCAACCCTCTGTTTGATCATTTTGAAGATATATGATAGATAAAGTGAATTTTTGTATTTGATCTCATCAAAAAAAACTGGTCTTCATTTCTAATAATGAACATTATTTCGTTATAAAATACCATGAATGAGTTTTTTCTCTCTTAATTGTCATCAATCATCTAATCTCTGACTGACTATATGAATTTTGTGTTTTTTATCTAATACAATCTCTGATGTTCCTCAATATATCACTGATGAACTAGTAAAAATTGATTGTCATCGCACAATAACTCCTCTCTCCTAGCAAAGTGTTTGTATATTCTATGACAAGAATAATTTTTAAAAACAATTTAAAAAAACATTTATCTACAATTTTAGCACAAAATAGATGCGTCCAAACAATCTTGAAGCGTGCTTATAAGTTGAACATTGTCAACCTCAATCAATTTCAAGTTCAAAAGTTTTTTCATTAAAGAATATCGATCGAGAACCATCAATTGGAAATCTATGACAAAGTTCATATTTGGTAAGATGATATACAGAATATTTTGATAGTTCTAGATATACTTTGCTAAGTTATTTTTAGATTGGTTTCTGACGTATTTGACATTGGCCATATGATGATATTCCTTAGATTAATAGAAACTTCTATACATTAACCATTTATTCAATGCAATGATGGAACTAATATAAATTTTTCAAAATGAATAGTGCAATCAACTCTTCGATTAGTTATATAGTTATGATAAATAAAAATCAATATGAATTAGTTTTACCAAAGTTATCTTTTCTTTCAACAAAGCAACACTACACATTTTTTATAATAAAGATTTTGTGTTTTGAATAATCTTTTTCTATATTCAGACATCTCTTTCACATATTATTGTACTCTAGTAAACACGATTGTTTTCATATGCCATTATGATTTTCATGACATAGTTATAATCACTTTATTATTACAAAAGTTATTATTAATAACACTTTCTGTTAAAATTTGTATATTCTTTTTTCAAATATTAAAATGTTTTGATTGTAACAATTTCATGTTTTCCATCTATTTCAACCACTTGTTCTTCCATGTGGCTCAAATGGAAATAAGAAGCTCAGCAATGCTAATAAAGCGAAGGCAGCAGCACATACATAAATGGGTACACTTGATGATAGATCAGCATATGTTCCTATCAAAGCTGCAACAATATTCATCACTCTGTTACATGCTACTGTTATGGCGTTGCCTGTACCTCGATGAGCTGATGGAAGTACTTCTGGAGTGTACGCATATAAAGTACCATAGTACACATTCAGACAGACACTGATGGCGCAATTGAAAGCTAAATTTTGAGCGCTTGTGCGGACTGCTGTGAATGCAAAAAGAAAAGTCATTGTAAGAAGGGCTCCAATTGCCATAGTATACCGACGACCAAGAAAGCGAACTTCTACCAAACAACCAGCTATTATTGGACCGAAAATACTACAAACGTTGATAATGGCATAATCGCGATAAGTTGTATATACAGAACCATCACCCAAACTATCTCCTCGAGATTGTAAATAATAAGGTAAAAAGACGTTGTAAAGTGGATAAGCAAGACCAATTAGAGTCCATGAAGCAATATTAAGAAAAGTTGAATATCCCACCTTTCGATTTGGAAAGAGACCTAGAAAAATTAGACGATGTGAAATAAAGTTTTGTGAAAAATTCATGATAAATTTCAGAATGTTGAAAACTGATATAGAAATTTAACTATTGGCAAATTTTTCTACACTAAAGATTTAAATTAATAGTTTCTGATAGTAACTTAAAATAAGAAAGAGCCACAATCAGAGTTTTTTATTTACCTTTGATATGATACCAAACAATCATTGGATTATACTTTGAAGTATTGACTTGAACTACTGGTCCTATCGATTCGAGTTGTTCAAGTGTAAGTGAACACTCTTTACCCGCTGCTTGCGCGATTTCTTGAATAATCTTCACTACTTCTGCATCTCGATTTTGCGAGAGAAGCCATTTGGGAGACTCCTTCAATCGAATGAGAAATACTCGAAGAAGTGAAAGAATAAAAACGACCGATCCAAGAGTATAGAATGTATAGCGCCATCCAGAATTATTGGCATTGGTACAAATATCATTCTTAGCACAAGAGAAGTTAGCTAGAAATGGCCATGCTACTAAGCCAGCTACCATGTGTCCAACACCCCACCAAGCAGCCATAAATGTGAGAGACCATTGATATTTACCAGGAAGAAATTCTAAGTAAATAGCTGTATCCAGAATAAGATTTCCACCGCCTCCAAAAGCCATAAGTCCAATGAATATACACACAGCAGCATAATTAGGTGACGCTCCAGCTACTATAGCAAAGATTGAGCACCAAAATAATGTAATGTTGAAAGCATATTTACGACCGATAACCTGAAATTTAACAAGCAAAATACTTTTAAAACAAAATGAAGTATTTCAAACAACATTTAACTGATTTGTGACCACCTCTAGAAAAATGAAAATTTTCGCAGAATGTGTCAATTTTTCTTATTCTAAGCTAAAGTTCCTAAAGTATAACATCATTTAGTCCTTACACCAATATTTATCTTTGAACTTTATCTTATACTGTATTCAAGGACAAATATATCTGATCATACATGAATATATATATATGTATATAGCAGAGATATTACTGTAACAGTCATATGATTTTATTTTCTTTATTGAAATTATTACTGAAAAAGTTTAAGTTGAAGTTATCAAAGTTGGATAGGTACTTTTGAAGTTGATGGACACATTCACAAATTATTTCTTCTCGAATTCTAACTTTTTATGATATTATTTAAACTAAATACTTTTAAAAAAATTCTTATACAACGAAACTTACGTCAGCTCCTGCACCCCAGAACAGTGCTCCCAATAGTAGACCAATTCCGAGAGACATTGTTTGTGCTTTGCTAATAGCTGGTTGATATTGTAGAGCGACTTGAGGTTGTGTTAAGGCATTAAGAAGAAGAAGCAATGAATCAACTGCATATCCAAATCCATTAAGAAAAAAAAGTTTCAATTGATATGAAGTAAAGCCAATTTCATTAATAGCATTGTTCACATATTGCATTTTTAGAGCAAGAGTTTCATTTTCCTCAATATCAAACGTGAAATTATGATTACTTTTCTCAGACTCATTGTGTGTAGATGCATTAACTACAACAATTGCAGAAGGTGCAAGCTGTGTTGAATCAACTTTATTTGTCATTTCGATATCTAATAAAACAAAAACATGAGATATCTAATACATATGACTCTGCTGTAATAATAAGTACCTAAAAGCAGAAAAACAACTATCGATCATTTTATTTAGCACATCATTATATAAAAAAGTGAGATTAGAAAATAATCTATGAGTTCAATGTTTTTCTACATTTTTCTTGTTCAATCTTTTCATGTAGATAACAATTAGTCGAGTTAAAATGAAATACATATGAAAAAATGAGCTAAGTTTCTTATGTTATATTCGATTGCGACCTTGTATCTAGAAAAAATAGTCTAACCTTTGATAATCAATGAAACATTCAGTATTCTAGATGGAAATCATGAAAGATGAATTCTATAGTACTAATGCAAAAAATTATATATAATTTAAATAAAACATATTTCACACCTATTTCTGCTTAAATATGTAGCTTTTCGAACGAGAAAATACTGAGTGATAGAGAACATAAAACACAAAATGTACTTGATTTCATTTAAGCTTTTTTAAATAGTCAATTCGTTATTAGAAACAGAATTAGTTGAATGATTTAAAGCACAGCTGGCAAACGGATCATTATCTGATGTTTTGTGCTCTATGACTATTTCATCTATTCAGCATCAGAAAAGCAATGCAATGAGACTATTCAGAATACAGTAGGAAGTGTTAACTGGTGAGGAAGCCTGTCGAAATTTCACGAAAAAAGTCGATCAATGATTCTCTCAGATACCACCGAAGGAGGTCAAAATTGAATCCGAGTGGCTCTTGTTCTGTATCGTAGTGCTAGACGCCGCGACAGAAATATGTAGTATCAAACATTTTCCACTGAAAAATGACCAAAAGAAAACTGAATAGTGGATTGAAAAAGTTCCTATGACTATTGGTGACAAGAAAGCGGCATATCGTATATGGATTCAATCGCAAACAGTGAAAAATTGGCAAATGAAGTAAAACCGACTTCATGTGACAATTTTGGACAAGATCTGGAAGCCAAATATCATTTAACTAGCAGTATATTTTAGTAGAATATTTTTTGATTCTATAAGAGTGAATCTACACTCACTCGTTCCATAATAGATCTTATTTATCGACTCTAGACATGTGAAGATGACTTTGTCAATAGATAGCAGAAACATTTTGTGGAACTGTACGACCTATCGTCTAGTTCGTATGGAACATTAAATGAATCATCAGTGAATGGAACCGATGATATTTCTTTCACAGAAGTTGTGACAACATACATCGCAGCGGAGATGTCTACAGTCAACGCTATGTCCTGATTTCCTGGTTCTTTTTTCTCGTTTACTCTAGCAAAACACTGCGTAGTATGAGACAGCCATTGAATCACTCAAATCTGGTAAACCTGCTGGAGCAGATGAAATAAGGCAGGCGATGCTAAAATGGCTCACTGCTAATTGCATACGTTGAACCCCTCGCATCTGTTATGTGGTATGGGCACTGAAAAAACTCCAAAAAATTAGTAGACTGAGATCGTTATCCCTATTTTCATAAAAATGGATCAGAAGAAGTGTTATAACTATAGAGGAATCACTCTACTCAGCTCAACCGGATAGGTATATGTCAGATTGATAGAGCAATGATACCGAGAGATGATCGAACTACGAATTCAAGACATACTCTATCGATTTCACAAGGAACGAAGGATAACAGATCGAATTTTTACATCATACCAAGCAATGAAAATATCCTAAAAGATTTTCGAAGCTCATGTTTACATTATTCATAAACTTCGAGAAGACATGCCATCAAGTTACATGGGACTTGCTCCGAAAAGTATTCCATAAGTATGGAATTAATATTTGTCTCTTATTTTCAATTCAATCTTTGTATAAGGACTCCTGATGCACATTGAATTAGGGCAAGGATGTGTACTATCGCCACTATTATAAATAGCTTTCATGAACAAGATATCTCGAAAAAGTATCGACTTGGATTGTATTGAAATCGGTGATGTCATAGTGGATTCTTTTCTTTTTACGGACAACATCGCTTATCTGGTAGCAATGACTCATGACCTTCAAAATGTTCCTGATTGATTCGTGAAGAAGTATTCCTCTTCGAATGTAAAGACCAATGTCAAGGAAACTGAAGGAATGGCTGTGTAAAGACATTCTGAGCAGTGTACTCTTTGTGCAAATGTCGCTTCACTTAATTAGGTTGACAAATTCAAGTATCTATGGATGCAATTCTCTGGTGATGGAAAACAAGGTGGCGAAATCGATCAATGAATTGTGCGACAGCGGTGTTTTACGTTTACTCTTTTTCACAGTTGTGACAATGATAAAGTTGAGTCAGAAGACAAGGCTCACAATCTTCAAATCGATAGATCGACCTGAGATCACAGATGGCCATCAAAAATAGGTAATGACTGACAAAATTTGATCTCGAACACAAGCTGATGAAATTAAATTCAAGAGAAGAGCAGACAGCTGAACATACTAAGAGAAAATTCAGAGCTCGGATACTCTAGAATCACGACTAATTGAAGCCCTATTTCATCACACCGACCAATCACAACTACAATGATTGAGACATGTTTCGAGAATGCCATACGTAACAAGCCTTCCATCAAATATATGAACCCATGCTTGTAGAAAAAAGGCCAGTCGAACGTCTAGGAACCAGTTGGCACAAATACATAAAGAAACTCTTCCAGGAGCATAAAGTAAAAGATGACGAAAAAACGGATCCTAAGATACATCGAATAAAACAATTTTCGCCTGATTAGCAACAACAGGTAGACCGTGTTTCACATTTTAATCCCACGTGAACTGCGCTAAAAGCTTCTTTTGTATGAAAGACTTCAATATTTGCTCTGATAAAATCAAACAACAGAATGTATTATAAAATCTCTTTCTGTTATTGCTTTGTATCTTTATGAAAATTAGGAATTGTAAAAGAATGCGAATATATCTTTAAATTGCACTGTCAATCATCTGACACGAGAATATTTCCAGATATCCACATCATTTTCAGCTGAAATTTCAGCAGTAAGTAGGTCTTGGTGAACTATGAAAAGTCTCCTCAGTGTTTATGTTCATGAATGTTCTTTATTGAGTTTGGATCTATTCAAGTATTTTCCATGTATGTTAAAGTAATGACAAATGCGTTTTGATGACTAGTAAAAGGTAGAAGATTGTAAGTTTTGTTGAGAATGAAGTTATTGATAAATAGACTATCCTAGACTTTTCGACGTTGCAACCTTAAAGAATTTGCAAATGATAAATCTCAAAAGTTGTTGAAACTTCATTCTCATTTTCAAATGAAATACAACTATTTATTGTAGTTCTAAATAGTACAGAGTTGATTTCATTTGAAAATCATGATGATGAATAGTTTATGTTCTTAATGAAAATGCTACTGAAGAAAAGACGTTGGAAAGCTTAGTATAATCTAGTTATCAATAACTTCATTCTCTAGAAAACTTACAATCTTCTACCTTTTACTAGTCACCAAAAAGCATTTATCATTACTTTAACACGCATGGAAAATACGATCACACGATAATTCCACGCGGCGGCATTTCCGAGCACGACACAACTGCACGCGACACTTCTGCGCTAAATGAAGCTTTCTAGTTTTTCTATGTTAAATTGATACATATTCTAAAGTTTTAATACGTGTTCTGTTGGTGTGGCTGCAGAGTTTCAGAGTGAATGTTGGAATGGAACGAAGGCAACTGAAACCCTAGTAGGAACAACCATATCTCAACAGCCAAATCCGCTCCAGTGATAGAGTTTCAAATTTTGACGAATAATCCAATTAATCTAGTACGACTATGTTTATACCAATAGAATTTAGCCAGAATTCTTCTAATAATTATGAGAATGCCTTTTTTGTGTCTTTAGAACTACATCTACTCTGATAAGGTTTCTCATTACTACACTGCAATAGTTTTCAAATCTACTCAATGCCGTTAGGATGTTCACTAACAAATATAATCATTTACATATTTCAATCTCTTCAAATCCAACAAAATGGACAATACTTTGCTCTCTCAATTGGGATAAATTACTGAAGCATTTAAGTTCTATTATCATCTGGTATAAAGAGCTATGCAATGTATATAACTATGGATCTTTGTCTCGTGTTCTTTCTTTCCATGTAAAAAAAAGTGATGCGAAAACTCGATGGAAAATCGATTAAGATTGATTTAGTAAGGATGAAGAAATCCATTACAATCAATGTAAAACATACAAAATTGGATTAAAATTCTGCCGCTTTTAATAACACGAAATTGATTAAAAATGATTTTTCGCACGATTTTAAATTGATTTTAATCAAAAATAATCAGAATAGTCGATGAAATTTTGGTATTTTTGATTATTTTTTGATTATAATCGATTAAAGACGTATGTTTTTATTCCATTAACAGTCAATATTTTTATAATTTTTACAGAGTGCTTTTTTTTTTACATAAGTTACTTCTGATATTTTTACATGGTTGGACGATCGCTATCGAAAATAACTTACCTTTATGCAACGCATACAAAATGCAGAATATAATTTTGTGATGATGTTTATTTTTGCTTGATATGAGGTGATAGAAAAACTTTTGAAATCAAATTTCGATATGGTCGACTACTATGTGTTTTTTTTATGTATATCGATTATTCATCACATAGTTAATTAATATTACTGCACGCTAAAGAAGGAGAATCGATAACTTATGAAAATGGTTCCTTCGGGAAATTTGATTTCTTCTATGTTAAACAGTCACACAAGATGTGCGAAAGTGAACTCTGGTAGAATCGGTTATAGAGTACTTATTTGTGCTATACTTAGATCAATTGAAATAGTCAATGACAATCGCAAGTGCATTGAACCCAACCGTTGATGAGAATTAGTACTTCTTATCTATTCGTTTCGCGAGAGATCAGACTGTTTTTATATGAGTCGATTAGAGCTTTTCAAGTGATTCAAAATGGCATTAAGGAAGATCCCCCTCAGAAAGTCGATTTTTTGTAGAGAATTTGATTTTCCAA